TTATATTAATAAGTAAAGACAATACATTTCAAGCGACCTGACCAACATCAAAAATTTTTTATTACCCCATATGCATGTCGCAAATTAGCCCATATGATAAAATCACCGTCCCTGTCCAGAGTTCGTTAAGGTGTGCAGTCTGCGCGGCCTGTGCAGTAAATTTGAAAATTTGGCAATTTGCCCACCCTTATACTTGTTGGCAAAACCAAAACCCCCAAAATATAATTGCTATTGCTATTTATAAAAATTGAATCAAAAAAAATAATAAAATTTTGCAGATCTAGTTTAAATAAAGATTATTAACAAGTTTTTAAGATGAGTTTGGGATTTTGCCAACATGTATAGGCGTCACCCAAATAAATTTTTTTTTATAGAGAACGCCTATTTCCACCATGGAAATTTGCTATTTCCACCATGCTTTTCGCATGACTTTCAGCTAGTAGATCGTCATTGTGGAAATAGGTTTTATATAGGATATATCTATATATACGTATGACGTAGGACTTTTTTTTAACTCAAAAATTAAAATTAAAAATTAAAAATAATTTTTAGCGATTAATATATCAGAAGCATAGAAGGTATCGATAGAATGATATAATCAGCGATCAATCATAAAACATGCAGACTAATATGCATTCATGAAAATAATGATTTTTATAATAGTTCTTAGTTAGGTATTCAAATAGCCTTCATTCTATTTATTTTATTTAAATAAATGCATATTAGTCTGCGTGTTTTTATGATTGATCGCTGATTATATTATTCTATCGATACATTCTATACTTCCGATATATTTTAATTATTAAATCGTTAAAAATTATTATTAATTTAATAATTTATTTTTAATTTTTAATCGTTAAAAATTCATAATTATTAATTAAAAAGTCTCATCACTACGTAGGAAACTATTGTATTTGAGGAAGTCTAAAAATAGAATTCTTTACACAACGGAATGCGGCTTTTCGATCCGATTAGAAGAGTAAAGTTGTATTGTTTTTTGTCTAAAGAATTCTATTATTAGATTTTTTGGCTTTCAGTTGACAGTACTCATTTAGGCGCTATATTTTTTTTATTTTTTTTAATGCCGAAAATACTTTTGGAGATGTCACAATAATTTCTACGCCATCTCTAAATATGTCCCTCGGGTATTTTGCATGAAATTTTTTAATAGAGTACTTTGTGCAGGGGTACCGTTGATTCGCGCTACACGATATATACGTTTTTACGTAAGAATAAAAACATTTTACATATACAATCATATCTTTATAAATGCATACCTTTGTAATGTACCAAATTACGGATGTATAAAACACGGCATCCCTAACTAGTAACTATTGCAAGTTGTATCAATGATGTGTTTCGAAATTCTTTAACTAAAAAGATACATACAATTAAATCAGAAATTAACCAGATAATGTATCATGAACCAGATATAATTTTTAAAAATACCTTGATTACCATATCAAGATCACAGGACATTTTTATTATCATTAGACCTGCCAGAAAAGCGAATTTTTCTTTCACTTGTTCTACAGATGTAATTGCAGCAGTTCTAAAATTCGAATGGCATGGCAGATTCCTGATTCAGAAATTGGGCAATTTGATCAGATCCGCACATTTTATTGAAGAAAGCAATTTAGACATTTATATCATCTTACCTATATCCAATACCAGTCTTCATACAGTGTTTTTTTATAACCAAATTTATATATCTATATACAAGTATATATATATGTTATTATTAAAGAATGAAAATTGACGATAGAAAAAAAGCAATGCTATATATAACTACGATAATCTTAAAATTTTCCACAAAGACCCGAATGATCTGATAATTATCTAAATAACTTTGGGTTATTTAAAGTTTTTTGATCAAATAAATTTCAGGTCATTTACCATCCCCGAATAGGAAAATGTTAAACAGCGCCCCATGCATTTGGTGTCTCTAATAATCCATTAATAAAAGATTTAGTAAACCAAATTTAATTTCTTTAATATATATTAGGGTAAAGATAAAGGTTAGAGTTAGGGTTAAACATAGTTCATGGTAAAATTTATCAAGAAAACTTGTTTAGTGGTTTAAATCATGGAGCTTATTTTTATCGGTTTTCGAAATGGTTGAAAATGGCAAATAAAAAATTTTTTTGGTGAACACTCAATTACCTTAGCGATTTACGTAATCCCATGACTATTATTTCAACAATTATGTCGGGCATCGGTCTTCAATCAACGTGCTAAGGTAATTGAATGTTCGTGTGTTCACTATAAAAAAAAATTTATTTGTCATTTTCAACCATTTCGAAAACGACAACACCAAGGCGGTTACAGCATATAATTAGTAAATGATTTTGATTGGCTGTTCTGTGTAAATAAGTTGCAGATTGGCCTACATTATGTAACACATGATATAATTTTGACCAGAATTATATGCTGCGGCAATAATATTGATCATCAACCCAAGCTTCAGGGGGGCCGCCCTGGTGTCGTCTCGAAAACAGCGATAAATCACTTTAATGAGACGATTCGAATAGCAATAAAATCAACTACTTGGTGGATATATCGACAATTTTTTTTTAGTAAAAAATGTCGATATAGTGAGTTACTGTATACCGACATTTTATATTAAATTTTACTATGATGTCGGTATAACCAGAGGGACGTTATTCAGAAAGTATCATATAGAGAAATCGCTCTAAATATGTTTTCATGGATTAGGTAACGGCATGTCAAGAGATCTTATACTAAATCTTGAGACCAGTGTATAAAAATAAAATGCTCCTATTGAAATTACACTTTAAATCAAATTGTATTATATTACGATTTATTTTATTATAGAACATTGAATTTTTTTTTATTAACGTTAAATACAAATATCGAAGAAACGGTACAGGTTTTTTTTTTTTTAAATGAAAAATGTATGTATAAAGGGGAATTAATTCGTAATTTTTTGGTTTAAAATTTTGACTTGTTCTTGCTGTATTACCTTGTTTTGAGAACATAATTTATAAAAAAAAAAATGCATAATGAAAGTGATTAAAAAAGGGAAATATTACTATTATACTGTATAAGACTAAAAATACAAACTAAGTGTAAATAGCCCAAACTCCATGAAATAAATTTACAATTTATGCAATGATATGTCTTTGTCATTTTTGTCATTAGTTTTATTAATAATTATCATCCGATTTATAATCTTTATGCTCACCACCACCTTCTTCAGATCCTGTGCTTTCCCTTTATCGGCTACCTCTTGAAGCCGTAGTGTTCCTTTTTTTAGATTTTTCACCACCAATAAATGAAAATATATGAAAATATTTTTGTTTTTTGATGTATTTCTTGGAGGTGATGAAACAACCTTTTATGATGTTGGATCCAATTTTTCTATCATTTTTGATTGATAAACATTTGGAGTACCAGGTTCTGATGTAGGTGAAGATTGTTCTTTTTTTAATGTCACCCCAATTTCACCAGATTTACCTTCTTCGACGCTAGTAATACTTTCTTCAACATGTGCAGATGGAACTTGTTTAAGTGATAATCTATCATCCTCTTCTCTAGGAAATGAAACAACCGGTACACCATCCTTCATGGTAAGATATTCTGAACGAACTCGAGGAGGTTCCTGAGATGTTTCACTTTCTCTTCCACTACTTGGAGTTGCTGGTTTCTCTGGAATATGTTCATCTATCAACCTTCGTCTAAGTAATATTGACGAATAAGTTAAACAAGCAAATTTGAACAACAGGATTATACAACTTGATGCCAATGCTATTGTTGGTATTATGTTCGGTACTACTGTGTATATTTGATACCATGTCTATTTACATGAAATTAATTGATTTAAAATATATAATTAGATGAAGACCAAAGTAGTTTTAAGAAAAGTCCTTTAATAAATTTGAACTATTAAATAACCAACTTTTAATAATACTCACCAAAATAATGAGCTGTGGTATATCTTCAATGATGACCGCAATAACATTAAATATCCTAATAAGTTTCATGGCATCTGTACTAAATGGAGCGCTTAATTCCTCGAGTCGACCACATTCAGATGACAAAATATTTAAAACATCAATATCTGCACCCGCTAAAATAGTGAATATCAAAGCTGTTTTACTACTTTTAAACCACCATGAACGAAATTTTTTCTCCTTTGATATTTCTCTAGATATTAATATGAATGTGAATCCTGAATTTACGATTATCGGAATTGTTAAAAATATCACACTATCATATAAAGGAAAATGATTATTAAAATTGTGATTATATTAGGTTTATGCAACTAATTAAAACGCATTACCAAGTGTAATATACCTTGTGGGATACAACCAAGACAGGTCATGACCATGATATATTACAAATAATATATCTAACACGAAATCAATCGCTAAAAACGTAAACATGAATATCGCACAATGTTTACCCTATTTAAACCAAAAATTATTTTAATAAAATATTCACTGTATTATGATGGTCAGTTTTTTTTTTTTGATTTCATTATATACTGCTTTTTAAAATTATCATTTTTGTTTAGTTAGACCATTTTATAAAAGAATATTATGAAATTTTAAATTATTACAAGTAATGCATATGACAATTTAGAATTTTAATTATTCAATCATGGCAAATTTTAAAAGCTACAGTGCGGGACAGCTAAAGATATCCAATTTTTTTTTTAAATTGTTATACCTTTTTTAAAACAAGTTAAAATAAAAATCCCTCTTTCAAATTTATTGATTTTTATGTTAATAACAAATCTGAAAGTGGGATTTTTAAAATTTTTAATTTTATAAAAGTTATAACAATTTAAAATATTTAATTTTTAAAAATTTGGCGCGTATATATAATTTTAAAAATGTTTGATTGGTTAAAATTTTATTTTTTATCATTTTTATCATAAAAATTTTTCTAAAATTTGACGCATCACGGAAAAAGTGGATATCTTTAGCTGTCCCGCACTGTATAAATAATGAAATCCATGTTTTAAGCATGATGGAAAATCCATTTGATTGGTTGTCAATCATCATAATAACAACACTATACATACGAATCTGGTTATATCTGATTAAATTTTCTTTGAAATGTTATCAACTGTTTGCTATATAAATTTATGACTTGGAAATGGTAAGTCATAAATTTGTATAGCAAACAGTTGATAAAATTTTAAAGAAATTTTGTTCGATGCTACTTGCTTCTGACAAATTTAATCAAATACAGTCGATACCGTCTAATTGCATACTGTCTAATTGCATATAATCTCTAACTGCATAAAAAATTTTGGTTTTTATATTGTCTATATGCATGAAAAAGTCTCTGACGGATGGCATGCAATTAGACAGTATCGACTGTATAATCAGATTCGTCAACAACTTCGTAGAATATTTACTATAATCAGCCAATGAAATTTCAAAGATCGACAACCAATCAAATGGATTTTTATTTGAAAAGTGTTAAAAAAAAAAACGTTACCTTTTTATGCCTTAAAACTGATAAGCAGACGAGAATAGACAATAAGCCCACCAAACCGAGTAATGTCCATAACAAGAATTTATACTTGTCCCATAAATTCTCTAACAAAGGAAATACCAAGATTTGCGTTAAAACTTGTTATTTAATAACCTACAACAATCAAGTCGTGTTGTAATCACAATATCAATTACATATGAATATATATATATATAAAACTCACGAATAGGTTGAGTTCCAAAAGAAGGGTCCAGCATAGAAGTGTAAAATCCACGAGACACTTTAGTAACATCTCTATTTTTAATCAAAGTATCTAAATCCTCTACGACTTTTGATGGATCCCTTTCCGTCAATGAATTAACGTAATTTTTGACATCAATTCGTAATAATACCTGTCTATGCTCATCAAATTGATAATTACTTGTTGTTATAATACATTTTGTATCGCATGGAGCTACACTTGATATATCTTGAGACATTTCAGAGGCGAATTGAATACGATTCGAGTCTGGGAGATTTTTAAAATATTTTGTACCGTCTGGTGTTAAGCGAATTATTGCACTTTTCTGATCTGATTATATATTAACATCATGAGTTTAAAACGTTTAACAATAAGTTTGTATTTTTAACAAGCAAGTTATAGTTGTCAAGAGAAATGAATTACCAGGATTGGTAGAATTATCATTGCTGTCTAGAATAAATTTAAATTGATTAGATCTCTGCGCCACGAAATTGATTTGGCCGCAGTAAATAGCGCGTAAACGCGACAATGGCGCAGTCAAGAAATCAAAACAACGCGTCCAAGAATAAATAAATCATAGTCAAATTTTCATGTGGAACCACGTACCAGTAGTAACAGTCCAAAGTGAAGACCTAATGCCTAAAAGTGGTTGACTGTTTTTAACGTCTTCAACAAAGGCATTATCAACCTGTATAAAATAGTTCGACGATCGTTGATTAAATGTACTGGTCAGCACGTCGAATTGTATGTTAGTTCCATTCAACAATCTAACATATTGTTTGTCAGTTCCTCGAAATGATTGTCGAAGTATCGGAAAGGATCCATTTGATTGATATATTGATACATTTCCGGACGATAAACTTATATTTGTGGTGAATGAAATCGTTAGAGTTGGTGTGCTTGACAAGGGAATTATTGAAGAATTTCCGGGAGAAACTGCGTTGATGAATGCATTACCGTAGCCACCCGGGTCCGGAACTTTGAAAAATGAAAATTAATTGATAAATCAATTTAATTTAAAAAAGATTAAAAAAAAAAAACAAGAATTACCGGTTCTGAAATCAACTAAAGCTGAAGAAGTTACAAGGGTCAAAGTGAGATTATCAGGACCATTAGCTACAGCCCATAAAGTATTATTAGGAAATACACCAATATTTCTAGTATAACTATAATTTGTTGGCATTCTCCAAGTTCCATTAGAATTACCATCATTGTCATATATCAAACCATCAATTACAGAAGTATTAATGTTTTGTCTTAATACACAATAACCACCTTTAAATAAATTTAAAATATCCCAAACTACAAATTGATGGGTTGACAACCCAGAAATTGTAAATATTTTACTAACTCTTCTGGCACCAGTTCTAAAAAAATCAATAGTTATAAAAGCAGGTTCTGTTGCACCAACAAGAACTTCGTATATTATACAATTATATCCAGAAGATTGAAATGATATAGAACAACTAAATATTCTTAATTGATCTAATGACTCTGTTGTCTGTTGATATAATTGAAATGGTCCTTTTGCATCATTGCCTTCTGAGATAAAATATACAAACACCGTCCATGGTGGGGTAAATGAAGTACCTTGTACAGTATAATTTGTTGTATTGTATTGAGCAGTGACTATCCCATAACCACCATCTTCTAATGGAAATATTGATGTATAGTTTGGACTAAATTTTGATATATTATTTATCCTCCCAGCATTTATTGTTGACATTACACCACTCGCGTTACTATTTTAATATTCACAGAATTAATTATTTAGATGTGTCCGGTAATAAATGAAAAAGTTAGTTTGATAAAAAAAAAAAGGATAAGAAACCACAAACCATTTTAAATATGTAATAAAAAGCTTACGGAGTGCCGAATTTTCTCCATATTAGTTGACTAGTTGAATTCATATAACATACCCATAAAAATCCTCCGATATTTGAATTTATATTTTGAGCGATATTTACATCATTACAATTATCTCCAAGGTTAATACCTCTATTTTTATTAATTTATCCATCAATCAATCAATCAATCAATCAATCAATCAATCAATGAATCAATGAATGAATAAGCGAATAAAATAAATAAATTAGCTAGCTAATCAATAATTTCATAATATAAAGGGCTTTTTTTGGCAAATTATTCAACTTACGAATTTAAAACATTTCCAGACCAGTTCAATACAAGTCCACAAACATTAGCATCTGAATTCCCACATAAATATGAAATTAATATATAATTTGGTGCTATTCCATATATTCGTATAGCATCGGTTGGACTATTAGAAACCAAATAAGCTATGGGAAATCGATAACCAGGTATCCAGAGTGGGCCATTTTTTGTAGGTGTTGACAAAGTTTTTAAGGTAAAAGCGACACCACTATTTACAAAACAATAATTTTTTGAAGAAATATTACGAAATACACTATTATTTAAAGTAATTGGAGTAATTGTTCCATCAGTTCTTATTAAACGAAAATATAATCCACTTGCTCTACAATCATCATCAGTACTAGGACGAACTCTAAGTAAGATCGTTCCATCGTCATAAGTCGCATATTGTATAATTTGGAATCCTTCGAATGAAGGATCTTCATGATAATTTATTTCATCTGCTGAACACGACTGGAAAATGAATGATGAAAGTATTAAAGAAAATATTATAATGGAAACAAGCCTAAATGACACTCGCTCGGCCCAATAAAATCTTTTCATAATCAAAAAATTTAAATTGGGTGAGCAATAGTGAAACACTTTTGAAGGCCGTTTTGACTAGTAAGGAATGAGGACAAACAAAGGGGGGAAGAAAAAAAAAAAGGGAAAAATAAACAAAAAAGAAATTTAAAAAAAAATAAAGGAATCGAAAGAAATAATAGAAAGAAATGGGATTATCTATACAATGATTGAAATAAAAATAAACGGATACAAAAAAAAAGACTTTCCTTAATTATCCTTAGCTCTAAAAGGAAAATAAATTCTATTCTTAGTTTGGGAATTTTCATTATACAGCACAAGGAGTAAACTTCAAGAAACAGGAGCACTAGTACAAAACCGAAAAGAAGGTGAAAAATTACATTTGACAGAAACATCAGCATATTTGTTAAATAAAAAATATGTTGTGTTAAATTAGCATTCTATGTGCATTTACTGTTGCATCTTCATTGTTTTTTTTTAATTAACTCCTATAACTTTATTATTGGTTTGTAGCATATACACATATTTTTTAGATCGGAATCTCATAAATAAAATTATTATTGTACAGGATGTTTTACAAACTTTACAAAAACGACAATTTTTATCATTCCCTTATAACATCAAGTCCTAACACCAAGTATCCAAAGTGGCATCATTTAACGGTTTAGCTACCATAACAACCGTATTCCGCGTAGACAAAAGAACGCCCAAAGTTTCCTTTTTTCTCAACGTACTATAAATAACAGTCATTATTTAAAATTCCAAGTGGATATTTGATTTAAGCGATGAAGTTACACGAAATTTTATTAGGGTAAATAAACAGTTTGCCTGTTTGTCGAATACCAATAATTTCGGTTATTTGTCACATACTACAATAATCATAAATTTTATAAATGATAAATCATATTAGATTATATTATATTAATATATTGAGATGCACAAAAAATCTCAATTTGCTCTGAAAATGGTTCACTTTAATAACGGAGTTACTATATCCGCATTTGTTTAAAAAAGGATTATACGAAAAACTTCTCTCAAACTTACGACTGCAGAATAAGATATAAATATCATTAACTCGATTTAGATTTGATGTGCATTGTATATCGCTATCTTTGAAAAGTAAGAATAAATTTATTTTATTGTTATTAAAAAAAAATAATAATAATAATAAAAATAAGTGCAGAAGTGGGACGTTTATATATGCAGCTGCAATTATACTGCATGTCACGCGAGAATGAAATATTCTCTTAATATTACATTATTAAAAATATGCCAATGGGCATTTTTATTAAGGTAACGATATAATTAACTGTAATTAACGGATTAGCAGATCAATTAAATTAACGGTCAATTCGGTGATGAGTACAGCATTGGATATTTTATTATACTTAGGTAACGCACGTACGCGTATGTATATGTTAACTTCCGAGTAAATCATTATTGAAAACATCGTAACATATTTCTTGGAAATAATCGTGTATTATCTCTGTTATGATAAACTTTAACATTAAACATGCAGTTAATATCCAATATTACGAATCAAAAACATAATTAGGTAACACATTGTTAATTTGATACATTCTAATCAAATTAGTCTTTATAGTTTTACCCGGTATGTTTATACGTATATGTCAATGATTGTTTTATCTTTTGATAGAAAAATGGCCGATTTGATATGCTAATATTGTGTTCGTGATAAAATTGCTTTAGACCAAAATTTAAACACGAGATTTCATTACGGTAAAGATAAGAACTAATGAATTTTAATCTTGGTTTAGAAATTAATTAAAATTAATTACTGATTTAGATATTAATTTGACGTACAACATTAAAATGAAGCATTTTATAAATTGCGATTAACAATATTTAAAGAAACATAGTTAAGTGAAACTATACACAGAATTTTGTACATTATATTCATTATACTATATTATTTTCTTGCGACAATAAGAAGTCATTTTAATCGTCGTTCTAATACTATAAAATCCAAGTCGATTATCTGATCTATTTTTTTTATTTAATATTATTATATAATATAATATAATATATATATATATATATATACAGTATATGTATTTTTTGTGAGCAATTTGTCGCACACAAGATTTAATCTTAACGATTTATTATAAATTTGGACAAATTTAAGTAGTAGTACTAATTGGGTTTGAATTCATTGGAGTTTAACATCTTTTTCTCATATTTCCGGTTAGCCAGTGTCTAATGTCAATTGTTTTGTCATCTTAGTCGATCAGTAATTAACAAATCCGATCGATTATACGTATAAAACATTGAAAGAACATAAAACATACGTACGTACGTACATACGCACGTACATGCGTACTAGAATGGTTTACGGATATCGATCGATATACACACACTTTATTGTTCTGACTGGTAGAAATTAGCCAATCAGAAATTAGAATAATTGACTAAGCCATAATTAGTTTGCTTTGTAATTGTGGCAATGTCATATGATAATTAAAATTGCTATTAATAGAGTTTTGTTGCGATATATCTTTAATAATAAATATTTGTGAAATATTTATTCTAACTCTGGCTAATTCATCACACCGAGTAAAAAAGCAAAATCAAGATTTATAAAAAATACATTGTTCAGATTAATTATAGTGTGAAACCAGAAATAGAACATCTACGTTGGGAAATTTTGTCGCTCAATAGGTATTATAAAAAAGCGATGATTAATTAAATTTGTTAAGGCGACTTGAATAAAAAGCATTAAATAATAAAGAAAAATAAAGCATTGAAAAAACTCTTACCGCATTGAGCTTACTGGAATTGGTCGATATGATGATTTAAATGACATTAGGATTAAATGTTTAACTAGTATTAAGATGGTTTATAAAGTTTTTTTTACCGTTACTGCATATCAGATATCAAAAGATAGTCATGGATTTAATGCAAATAAAGCTAAAGGATCATTCCATCGAACTTAAGGATGTACCAGCGGATGAAGTAAATAATGTAGTTTGCGAAAAGCTTATGACATAATTAGTAATATAAAAAGATGCATGTGAAACTAAAATGATTGTTAAAATGTTCCAAATCATACGTTAAAAAATCTTTCCGCATAAACAAGTATAAAGTGGTGCTTGTGTTATAAATAGATTATTGAATGTAGAAACCATGCTAAGTAGTAGGATCGTGGAGAAACCTGGCCCTTAATATAAATAGTATTAACAGGTTTGAAAACTTACGGTGAAGCCCTATACCTAATTGAGTCCTTAATAAATTATCGGCGGAACAAAAAATTCAAATAAACTAAGTAGATTTGGAAATAGTGCATTTTGTGAAACTGTAATTTTGTCATTGAAAAAAAAAGTAGAATTTTTATTCTTATGATATAGCCAATGTTACTAATCACAAGGTGAAGTCAGTGAGATTTTTTTTCAGCTTGATTATAAAAGAATATTAAATATCTAATGAATCTGGCATATAATCCGGATACCTACCCGACATCCAAAGTATCATTGTCTCGAATATCATTTCATATATTTGTGAATTGATGAAATCACATGATCAAACGATCAAAATTAGTTCGCTATTGTATATTTTCATAAATTCTGACAAATTAATAAATTGCTCGTTATCCAAAATCCCATCTGCTTCGTCCTACGAATCACCTGAAAAGTTAACTCTCTAGAAACTACATCGATCTCCGTCAACCGCTAGATGATTTATGGAACTATACTGAAGATATTTCGGGTAACCGAATTTGAGAATAGTTGCAATCATCGTGTAAATTTTTAAGCGAAAGATCCCGACAAGAACATAGATCTTAACATTTTCGAATTCTATAGGTTCGTAGGATTTTGGATACCAAAACTGGAACAAATGCAGTATACGTAACATAAATCTGCTGATTAATAAGATTAATAATCAATTTTATTAATAAACAAGATCAGGCGATTATAATAATATTATATATAGCTCTTATTTTCCAAAAATGTCTCAACACGAATCCAATGTTTAAAGATATTTTCGAATTAGTCATTACTGCGATAGTAATAACTTTTTTCCAAATTTAACAAACGAACGATTGCTAAATATAATCAACTAGTTTTTTGTTGAAACTTTGAACGAAAATATCTTTGTAAATGCTAATCCAAATTTGGTTCTTATACATCTTCATTTAGAGTTCAAACGAAACCAGATGATTACAATTCCTAATTTTGTTTAGAAGATCTAACCGATTTCGGTGTTAAACTTTCAGTATTTGTAAATATCCTGAACGGTTGAAAATGTTTTTAGTTATTTTTAAGATGTTTTCGCTCGAATGATAGGAAAAAAATAAGGTGATGTATTACAACATAATGCATCATATAATTTCATAGAAGCGAGTTTTTAACAAATCTACTGATAATCTTGTAGTGCTTATCACAAAGAACAAAGTTACCAGTCAATTTTTTTAAAATAACGTTTCTATAAAAAATCGATGCTTTTTTTTTAAATAGGATCAGGGCCTAATTATAGACAGGTAATCACGTGGTCGTATGTTACAAGGATCGGAACCGTTATAAAATACTTGGCGTCGAGTCACGAATTAAGGTTTAAAGACCATGAATAGTGGGTTCGTGAAACCTAACAAAAGATTAGAAATTAAAGATTCATGAAAACGTATACGGTTGGCTCTTTCTATGCCAAACCATTACACTATCCAAATTATGGATATAATGACCTAAAGGATTAGGAGCAAATGGATTAAATTCTATTTGTTAGGTAAATTTATATGAATCCAATCGGATTGTTATATTTGTATTATATAGCAAATTACATGTAATAGATATTCCACGGGCTGCTGTGAATATCATGGATTAGCACGGCGAAGCCGTGGTAATACATGATGTCACGGCACACCGTTGAATATCCGACGGTTCCTATGCCCGTAACATTTCTGATTAAAATATTTAATGATGACGTAATGCCCGTGGAATAATTTTTGATATTTTCACGGCATACGTCATCATAAAAATATCTAGTACCCTAGCCATGGCGAAAAAAAATTGGCAGATCACGTGCTGTAGATCATATTTGGCAGATTTTTATTGGACGC